GACTTGAGGTCAAGCGACAGGGGAATACCTAAAAGCAAGGGGCGTCCGACTGGTTCTCACCGAAGCGATGGTGAGCGAAGCTCAAACCTAAGGCTAGGGACAAGTGAATGTATTAGTTAGTAAGGTAGGAAAGGAATACAAATGAGGGCTTACTGACCTAGGGACAAGAGGTCGAAACTGAGGTCCCTAGGGCAGCAGAGGCCGGCTTATATACATGGGGAGATTAGGGCAGGCTGTGCACGTTGGTCCGTGCGCAGCTGGTCTGTGCGCAGCATGCCGACGCGGCCCCGGAGGCCGGTGAGTCAGAGCGGCTGTGTCAGCGGAGCCCGAGCTGTGCCGTGCGCTGCCGCCCCATCTAATCTAATCGTACAGTGGATAACGTCGTGTCCATATCAGGCAGGTAGTACAGAGGTCGTGGGTTCGAGCCCGCGAAAAGGAAAAAATTAAAAACGGCTAGACGCCGTACCAACTCGTGACAGTGCTTCATCGACGTGTCGTGGCACCGGTGCGGGGCTCACAATTTCCCCTGCGACAGGGTCACTGAGAATTCTGAATAGCTCGTCAGGAGTGAGTACGGAAATCAGAATGAGGCACATACGAGCCGGTGGAGTAGCCAACAATACTGCATATTGTTTCCATTCGGTCTCTGATGTCATCTCTCCAAAATTCGTTTTCGGGGCATCGCGATGCACAGCGCTCCAGCGCATTGACAACTTCGCGAGTAACGAGTGGGCCATTGCGAGCAGGCCGTGCGGTATCCTCTAGCGCGAGCCCGACGCATACATTGAGGAGCATCGAGAATTGCCACCAAGCGCGCGCCTGGACCACCTCCTCTATGCGAGACGAGCTGAAGTACTCGACAACGACATCTAGCGCATCACGAACATCGCTATGAACACGACCAAAGTCGTCAGGCGGGAGTCGTTCTGAGTGCCTCAGCGCTAAAAATGTGATCCAGAGGAATCGCTTGGTGCCGAGCCGCTCGCGGGCATGTGGTAGGAATGTGAGCAGTCTCCAGGTGTCTGCAGAGTACGCGGTGAGTGCTGGGTGGGCGACTTCCGGATGGAACCGGATACCTACCCTCGCTGTCGAGTCGGAAATTCCAACAAAAGAGCCAGATGATATCTACAAGCTTGTCGAGAGCCTCCTGGGACAGCGCTAGACCAGGCAACAGGCGAGGGAGGCGGGCATAGACTGACGTAGCATTCGGGCCGACTTCACAGGTCTTCCCCACTGCTTCGAGGATAAGCAGTTGATGCTCTGTACTCGCCTCTCGTGACTCTAGAAGTGCCTTGTCCAAGACATCCAGAGCACGATGGCCCAAAGAAGGTGTCATCAGATTGCTGACTGTCCATCTAGCCTCAACCCTCTTCCGCAGTATGTTGTAAAACAGCTCCAGAGAATCATCCTTATGCGCAGCACGGAGCCAAGCTGGGACAACATATTCAAAGAAGCACTCTGGGGAAGTCGTGAGTTACAGAAGGTATTCCTGCACAAACTACTTACCATCCGCCCCATCGTCAAGCTTGTCTAAGCGCGCTTCATGAAGCCACCCCTGATGTTCTGCTGCCCATTGTATGAGATCTCTCGCACGATCACATACCGTTCTCGCGGGATCGATGAGAGGCATTGCGCGGAGAAGCTGTAGAAGATGGTCTACGAGATGGTCGTCGTTGCGATCTTCCGGGTCATTGTATTTCTCGATGACGTCAACACAGAGGTCCGCTAGCGCAATGATTGCGGCCGAATCTTGCTCGCTCGTCAGCCATTTGAGTACTGTCATGTCATTGTGCCAGGAATCCTTTCCTAGTGTCACCTCGTGGGCTCGATGGCAAAGGATACGAAGAAGGGCAGGCAGCGCAGATTCAAGAGAGGCATTCTGAAAGCAAGGATGCACAACATTGACAAGGAATGCATCATCCATGATGATTTCATCCGCCTCCGCCAAAAGCATCAGTTTCTCTTCCTCTGGTGTATTGTCAGCGCGGACTAGCACGTTATCAAACTCTCGCCAGCTCCGCGCTCCGAGGGTATCTGAATGCCATTTACTCCATGCTTCAGATATACGTGGACGCCATCGCATCCAGCTGGCGCAGTGGTACCGGATGATGGTGAGCCAATTTGTCATGATTTCCAGCAGGATTAACAAGTTGCACAAAGTGGCGGAAGGGAGCTTGCACGTGTAGTCCCAGAGCGATCTCGCCAAGCATTTGATGCCATTTGCAGTGGGCGTGATTATGGCCGCTGGGCGGAGTCGACACAGTTCTGACAGAATATTTCTTGTAGCTGCAGGAAAGCCACGAAGACTTCGCACTCTCTTTGTGGTGGCAGAAAGCGCTTCGGTAATGCTTACCCCCAGCGTCTCCCAACACTTGACCGCCCACGCAGGGCAGTGGCTGTGGGTAAACCTATTCAAAGCTACATAGCACCACCATGCGGAGCGGGATTTGTACGGACAGTCAGCGTGGAAATACGGCATCAAGACGGTGAGGAGCGTCGGCAGGAGTAGTGCAGTGACTATGATCGTCGAGGTGCTGGCAACGATATAATTCAGGTGCCAGACGAGATTCAAGAGCCCGACGAGGAACAGTGCGAGCGAGATTTGAAGGAGAATTGGCAGGATGTCGATGATTGCCTGGACATGCCACTTCTGAAGACCGCGCCGACGGAGGGACCAGATGCGAACACTCTGGCGTGACAGACTCGAGGCTCGATCCGTGTGATGATGCAACCACTGCCCGACGGCGATGCTGATGGATGCAGCACTGAGACTGAATATGAGTGCGATGAACCATAGGACGCCGGTGGAAATGGTGGTGGTTGTGGGAGCAGTGGTCGCAATTGCAGCATCGAGGATGGTTTGCTGCTCCTTTGTCAAGTTTTGGTGTGCGATGGCAGTGGTGAGGACGCTGAGCTGGACCGACATGACAACGAGCACTTGAGCCGTCGCATCTGGCATCTGAGGTCCAAGCAGCAAGTAGAACGCAGCAAGAAACGCAGATAGGATCGTCGAGAACAACCCCGCCTTTCAAGGTAGTTATATTAGAAGGGTTACAATGTTTATGCCAGACCACTTACGAATAGCAGAAGACCATTGATGTTCTCCTTCCACTTTCCCACCTGGTTCTCCTCGAACTTCCAAACTTCTTCAGCGCAGAGGCTCCACGGATCCTCTGTCTTCTCGTCCTCGCGTCCCTTCGCATCAGCCGTCGGCTTCACCTCTTGCTCCGTTTGCTGGGCGGGTGCTGTTCCTCCTACGGCCTGCAATATTCATTGTCAGTCATAATCGTCTCTACGACACACAGCATTACCTCTGGTGGTGCAGCTGCTTCTGTGTACGGCTCAGGGACTTGTTCATGGCCTGCAGCTTCCACCTGCACAGGCAAAGGTGCGTCCTCTATCTGCTGGATTGGATCCTCAACGTGGGCCCTCGTTATCAAGCATAATCCATACCTCACGACCAGATCCGCCTGATGCTGCCTGGTCATCATGCGCATCCTCCTCAACTCCTTCGCACCCTGAAGAGGTGGCCGGAGGTTCTTCTGCAGGTCGATTGCCGTCACTGGCACTGTATGGGGCATCGGACCCGCTGTGCTGGTCATCCGGACGCGTGGTGGCTGGTTCTTCCACTGTAGCCGGATCCTCGACGAGAGTCTCCACGTTGACTCCCACAAGGGACAATCGACTACTCCGTCGTCGTGCCATTCAGGAGTTATGCAGCTACAAGTGCAGTCGATGGGGGGGGGCGTAAAGAACGAAAGACGCGCGTACCACTCAGCCAGCGACGAGGAGGGTAAGCAGTGTGCACGAAGCTACGAACCACACAAGAAGCATCAATGCATGGAAGGTGGTTCAGCGATCAAACTCTAAGTGCGCGATAAATGTTGTCATATCTCGTTGGAACCGAGAACAAGCTTCATCTTTATCTGGCCCAGTATAATACAGAACGAAGAAGAGTCTGATATCACTCACAGCGCGGTCAACGTGCGCTGTACGCCTGGATTCCCGCAGGCTATCACGCACAGGCCGCCCGAATCGAGCGCTCGCCGTCACTTCCTGCACATAAGGTTTGATATCAGACTGCGTTGGAAAGACGCGCAAGCGCTGAATTGGCGTCTCGCTCGGTGATTGATGACGACAAGCAACATCCTGCTCAAGCGCTCATCCGACTGTGATCGAGATTTTACTTTGCGCGTTCATTTAATGTTACTCCATCCCCGGCGCATACGGGCTATCCACTACGCATCGCACGGTGTCGCGCCATTACGGAGGCATATACTCCATGCATCACTGTAGGAACAGAGACTCGGCGCCTCTCTACGGGCTGTCAGTGACATCCTCCCGACGACCCTGATGTCCGCAACGCCAGTGTTTATAAATTTCTCGTGGGATGGGGGGCAATGGGTCCCCAGGCTTCGATTCATCAACGTGAACACCCGATACTTCTCCCCGAACGTTCTGCTGACGGCGACGTCACCACAAATATCAAGTAGTGTCAAATAGCACTTGAGACAATGTGAGAAACCAAGATATGGACACACGGCGCATATGAGTGTATCGTGGAGACCGAGCACTGCATCCTCGAGGACTGGTGAGACCTCGCAGCATTGACGCAGATTGCGCTATCGAAATTTGATGTGCTCAGCGGAAATGGCTCATCACCGCGGCAGGTTCGAGAGCATATCCGCCGCACATTGTTAGTTATCTCAGATGGGGACTATCGCACAAATAACGCAGATGTCAAAGACGCATCTCATTCTGTCCTATTCGGTGACGAAGCCATGCGGGCTGGACGCGTTTACCAGCGAGAACGGATCCTTGTGCGATACCAGCAGCTCATGAGACGCCTCTGGAGGCGTCTTCATGCTCGCGTCTGGCCACTACGAAGGGACGACGTATGGGGAGAATTGTCCGCCCACGGGGGAGGAACAAACGGCGAAGTCCTATAAGCCGGAAGGCGAAGAGTCCAAGAGGAAAAACAGCATACCCGGCACGGCACGCTGACAGGCTTGAGGGAACCAACAGCAGCGAGCGCGCATACAACAGCAAATCAGGACCCTGGCAATGCGCAGGGTAGAGAGGATGATTGGGACCCACCGCCAACGTCGGGAGGGCGACTGGTGGGATGCCGCATGGGGTCCACGCGCAGTATGCGAGAAAGTAGAGCGCGCCATCGACAGACAGTAGCGATGTGGGAACGGTTGTCACGGCTGGTTGTACTGAGTCCAGTGAGTAATGCAGGATGAGCCAACGGAATATGCAACGTCTTTGGCAAGGCGTAATGGCACTGGCTACGCCAGCATCTTGATAGAAGCAACGCGGCTGCCAGGTGCATCCAAGTGAGATGAGCGTCGGCACACGCGCACGCCGACGCACGTCGGCGTCCACCGGCAGCAGCCACCAATGTTTGCCCGAAGGGCATGTCACTGGCCGGCTGGACCTGGCTGGACGGCCTCGGATGGTGGTTTTGGGGGTCGGGGGATCAAACCTCGGCCCGGAAGCCCAGCGTTCGGGGGGTTTTGAGATGTAACCTGAGCGCCGTTTGGGCCCCATTTGAGGGGTTTGAGATGTAACATTTTCGCTCCAAAGGCCCTCTTTTCGGGGATTTCGGGATCGGAGCTCTGAGGGGGTTCTACGTCATCGCTCTGGTCGTTCTCTGCGTTGTATCAGAGTATGACGTGCGCAGACGCCGCTCTTCCCCATGCAATCGGAGAAGTGTCACTGCATCTCACTGCCTGCTGCACGCGTCATACGAGCCCGTCATTCCCAGTTCTGTACTCGATCGTCTGCCTCCAGCGTATCCTTCGTGAAGATGGCGAATGGGCTCGCTTCCAGATATGCCTCCCAGCTGCAGCCGGCGATTGCAGTCAGCGCCTTAGAAGGCTCGCTGGTGAGTACATGAAACGGGCTTGTACCAACGCTCAGGAATTGACCATAGTACCCTATGGTGTTTCCCGGTATCTTGATCTCTTTCGCGTAGTATCCGCTGCCGTCGTCCCTACGCCCGTCTTTGACTCACGGTAGCTGATAGTGCGTATATCCCATCTGAAAGCGCTGTGATCCCCCCCCCCCCGCTTCCAACTATCGTGCCTGCGTCACGCTTTCCACGATAGTCTCTCGTAAACAATAGCGTTCAGCGGAGTACCTTGTGAGAGCGTTCGGACGAGGCGAATGCTGTCGTATGTAACAATACATCACCCCTCCTTGGCAACTACTACAGCTCGTCCTGTCGGGTCCGACAACATCTGGAGACAGATTGCAGGCGAGTCTCAAGTAATGCCGATATCGTGCCATGCGTGACGGGACGTGTTGAGGAGCGTTGTCTCAAATCCAAGTTCCTGACATGTACATAGTACGGCATACGCTACCGATCATTAATGGCATTGCCTACTAGATTGCCTCACATACTCCGGTACGCGTCAAGCTTCGCAGAGTCACCAGTTACCCGATCTGTGCTCCTCGCTCTGTCAAGCCGATGGCATACTACCGCGATACCTTCGCTCATTCACGCCGCGAACAACGCTTGTGAAAAGTCGACACCCTCCAATTGTACAACCCATACACTGCTCTTGCTGTGCCGCGCAAAGAAGGATGGCTAGCAACGCATCCACTACCTGAACGCGCGCGGTGCGATCGCGTGAGTATGCACGCTGGAGAGGACCTGCACATGAAATTACGTGTTTTCTAGCGCATTACAGTCCAACACAGTCACCGGCCGCCGGCGAAGCAGGGGAACATTTCCTGTGGCCGTGGAATGAGCCACATTCACAACGTGGGTGCCTTGCGACCATTACTTGGACAGGAAGCGTCGGAGGGGTAGACATGCGCAGTTACGAATGGGCGCGAGCCATCGACGAGCGATTTCACTAGGTGTATATGGAAGATAGGTAAAGTAGACAATGATACTAGCAAATACCACGCATGTGCCTGGACGCGCCATACGCTGGAAGCCCGGGAAGCCTAACGATTGAGGAGAGCGCATGATACGATCACCCTCATACGTAACAGGGGGTGAGGGGGAAGTGGTGTTTAGACGAGGATATCGTATGGTAACAAAGCGACGTACGTCAAGGACGATTAGCTACCGGTGTTTGCTTTCTGTGCTGAGAGCTCGGTGCTCATCGCTGCGCAGGGCTAACCCCGTGATGTCTTACCGTAAGTCGTCACAGCATACGTTCTCAAGCAATCCGAATGGCGAAGATCTGCGAGGTGCTCCAAGCTTCACCGGGACGACGAGAAAGGGAGTGGCGTTCTGCGACAGACGCAGCTGTTGCAAGTGAAGAGGCGTCATCGGATGGGCACGACATACATGATCCGGTGGACGAGGGAAGCGACGCCGCCGAGTAAAATCATAAGGGGCATCCAGGGGATGATCTGGAGAAAGGTGAGCAAGAGTTCCACGGGTTTTTGAAGAAGGGGCAGTCAGGGATGGCGATGCAAGGAGGGCGTGGCTGACGAGAACGCCAAGCGGCCCGAGCAGGGAGGCCACGGGATACAGACAGCACGCGCGCAGCGAGCATAATAGAGAGAGCATTAGATAGACTTGAACGAGCAAATCTCACTGGAGCAGGCGCAACCTTTAAGCAAGCTGAGCAACGCGACGGAGCAACAAACGGAGGATGACGACTTGACAGCCTGGTAGAGCAAAGAGCACTATGGCCGACGATCCTTTCCCTATGATCAGCATTAGGGCATCCTACGAGCGAGCTCCTCTTCAATTGCCTTCGCAGAAGCTAAATGGCCGCTACACCTGTCCTCCTTTACACATCCTTCACCACATCGCACGCCCTCGCTCACCACTGGCAGATCTTTGAGCGTACGTACCTGTAGTGCTTTTCTTCTGCTGTCTTGATACTGAATATTGCGCCAAAGGTCAGGACTGTCCTGGTAGAACCGCATAGAGGGCTTGTAACTGACAGAGGCAAAGGGCGTTGGTCCAGTCGACAGGAAGGAGATGATCGGATGGGTCGCTGCCACGTGCTGTGCGTGACCGGGCGCGATCAGGACGCGTCACCTCAAGTTCCTGCCCTGAAGGGCCTGACTCCTAGGCCTGATCATTGCGTACCGGTTTGCTGCTTTCGACATACTTTGGAACGCGTGAGGCTTCGCAGCATCATCAGCCGCATGATCTGCTCTGATCACTCCGTCCGGCCGATGGCACACTATTGATGTCTCTTGGTAGCTTCGGCTCGAAACCGCACTACTTCTGACGCAAGTCTCCCCTTGTACTAAGCAGCGCGGCTCGGGAGGAGGTGAGGGGAGGGTCTTCGGAGGAGGACAAGGCGAACCAGACAGCAGGGGGCACACCAAAATAGTCTGCGTAGGATATCGAGGTGTGCAGTTATATAGAATGCTGTACGACGAACATGACATCAAGGCTACGGCCGAACAACCAGCTTGGAGAGCGCTACGCATGCATCAATACACTAATGAACAATCGACCTGCGTCGATCCCCGAAGCCTCCGGCAAGTATCTGAGATAGGTTACGAAAGAGCACCGCGTGGTTGGCGGGCATGTCATTCACTGGCTCTGAAGACGAAATTGGTATATCACTGCCATAGAGAGTACAATCGCGTAAGGGTATATAGAGGACTTCGAAGCCCCCAGTCGGAACGCGATGACAGTCGTTCCCCGAGCACGGAAAAAACATAATAGCCTACTATTAATAGATTTTGCGTCAGCGAGTACGTCATGAACGTACTTGTTGGATACTCACATAAGTCATTGGCCTTGGAGCCTATATTCCAGCGAGATCCGCTATTAGATCGTCTACCTGTGACGGCTTGCTCTTCCTGCCTCGTTGTCGCCCAGACCGAGCTGATGCCGACTTGCGGTGACGCATCGCATTCACCTGCAGCCTAAAGGCTTCTATGTCTGCCGCGGTGGTGGACCAGTCGTCGTCGTCGGAATCCTGCGCTGACTCCTCCGCTTGTAAATTTACTCCTTCTGGCGGTACTGGTGTCGTCGCTGCTGGTGTCGCGTGCTCGTCAGACTGCACGCTCATGGCGAACGTGAACGCTGAAGATGACTCATGCGGCACCGGCGCAGAAGCCTCAGAAGAGCTTGAAGGTCCACCAATTGGCGGTGCTGTGACGAACCCTTCCTCCACACTCGGACCTGGCAGTGGCGGGCTACGAGCGACAGGATCAGCGGAAGTATCGAGATTGGGAGATGCAGACTGGTCTGACCTGGGCACCCTGTCGGGCGGGAGCTGTTCTGTAGTACTAGGCTGCGTGAGGACCTGTACGGTCTCTTCTTGACTGTGCGAAACCTCTGCGCTGGATTGATCATGCAATGGCTGCGGGTTGCTAAGCGTGCTGGTGTCCCGGAGGTCACTTCTCACGCTGGTATCGGAGGAATAGGGTATTGAAGACTCGAGGGGATAGCGACTTGACGACTCGAAGGAGAATGCACTTGATTGTACATGTGCCGTGGTCTGCTCGGCCGGAAGCCCGAGCGCGCGCCGCAGGTTCTCTAGATCGTACGTACCCTGTGTTCCCTGCCCGTTCTGCCAACTTGAAGGCCCAGGCATCGGTGCGGCGAAAGGAAAGCCTTGGTATGTGTCCGTGTTGGCATGATAGGATTGGCCGAGGTTGACGGCATCGGCCGAGACATATTGACTAGGGACTGTGAATGAACCCTGCTCGAACTTTGGTGCGCTCTGAGGCGATGGAACTGGGATTTGTGCCGCGAACTGCTGTTCTGTCGCAGCGGCTGGCAAGAAAGACTCTCCACTCCACTGGTGATCATATGGACCAGTTGCGCCGGATGGGGAGTTCCAGGACTGCAGGGCCATAGCCTGGTAAACCGAGCTGCCGACTGAGTTGTCGAGATTCGGTTGGTACATTCCCTGGCATTGTGGTACCGCAGCTGGTTCCGCATAGTGACCTTGCGGCTGGTCATTTGGTCCGCTATTCATACCATCCTCAGCCTGTACGCGTTGCGCGTCCTGCGCTTGCAGTGGATTTAAATCCATGGGTGCCAACGCTACGTGTGTCTCCGCTGCGGCGTCATCAGCGGCAGGTGGTGGGCTGGGATGGTCGAGATCTGCTGCAGCTGCTGAACACGAGAGCGATGGCGGGTCTACCAAAGGGGGCAAATCATCGTCATCGTCATCATCATCAGACGCCGGATCGGGATCGGGCGCCGCGACTTGCGACCGAAAAACTTCGACATCGCGTTTATACACTTGCAGCCAACTTGATGCGGACACAGTGGGCTGGGGCAGTGGGGCGCAGCTAAACGTGAATCCATGGTTGGAGCTTACACCCTGTTGAGCATGATCGCGCTGCACAGGTTGTATGGCCTGCTCGAACCATCCCGTCTGGCCGACTTGCTTAACTGGCTTCTCCTCTCGTGGGTCCTGCGCATCCTCGGGCAATATACTGCGACTATCTGCTCCGGCCGGTTGGCCTCCCTCGTCAGATTCCTGGTTGGTCCCCTTGGTGGCCGAATGTTTCCCGTCTTCGACATCGTGATCCATATGTTCGTGGCCTTCGCTTGGAAGCTCCTCCTGTACGGCCTGCACATCCCGCTCGCACTGAAGACCCGCTTTGTAATCCTCTTGTACGGTACGCTTTTCGTCGCTGCGCAGATGGGCCGCAGGACCAGTCCGTACGTCCTGCTCGTGCACATCTTTCGCGTGGTCGACCTGCGTGCCTTCCTCGCATAAACCCTCCGGGCGCGCCTGTACATCCCGCCGCTCCGGACCTTCCTCGTATATTTGCACCTCTTGATCCTGAAGATGCCTCGGCTGTACCGCTTGCACCTCCTGATCATGCATATGCTCGGCCTTCTGGCGCACACGCTCAGCCTCCCGACGAAAATGCTCCTTCTCCAGCAGCTCGCGCTGATCCTCCAGTTTCTTCTGCTCCAAGGTTGCCTGTAGCAGCCCACGCTCAATCTCGACGCGCTCCTCTGCCCGCTTCCGCGCGGCCTCGATATGTGCATGTTCATTCTCGAGCCGCGCCCGTTCCCTTGCCAGTTGCTCGGACACCTGCTTTGTCTTCCTGCGCTCCAAATCCAGTCGTGCACGGGTCACCTTCATTGTCTCCAGCTGCTCACAGTAGTCGTCCTGCAGCAGCCCGATCTCTGCATGAGCCTGCATGAGACGCGCATAACGGCCCTGGCACCGGGTCTGCAGCTCCTTGACACGCTGGACCTCTATGTCGACAACCGCTTCCAGTCCTTCACGCTCCTTTACAAGGGTCTCTTGCAATAGATCCTGGGGCGCGCTCTGGTACTCCAGCATTTTGACGGCCTTCGCGCACATCCTCATATAGCTCTCACAAGCGCGCATGGTGCGCGCGATAGAGACTGTCATGGGTATAGGCGCAATCCGGGGGAGGGCTCTCGAGGACTTTGATGATACTGGTAGACGCAATGAGCAATCAGCGTTGCGGTATATGAGGGTATGAGGGTGAGAGGATCGCACCTGACGAGGAACTACTGCCACGGGACGCTGAAATCGTCGTATATTGCTCGGTATGCGCTGCCATCGAGTTATCAATAATACCGCTGATGTGCTCCGTGTGTGAGAGGACGCTAGATACTGGATCCGCAGAGGTGCATAAGACAATCGGCGAAGTACCCTTGCGGTCCAGGGAGCTCGTCCCGAACCGCAGTGATACGCCGCCATAGAATATCTCCGCGAGTTTGGAAACGGTGTTGCTCTGCATAATATAATCAGCGTGCATCGTATCTATTAACACGCACGCACGCACCTGGGTATATCTCTGCGGACCGCTGTGTGAAGTTACCGTCCTCTCATAGCGTCGAGTCTTGAAGAACTTGACCAGCACGTATATTCCCCACATCATCGCGAGCGCGAAGGAGACGGCTACGATATGAACCGGACGAAGATGACAGTCGGGGTAAACAAATGCGAGGTAGGCCGGGCAGGAGTGGCGGGCCGGGTCAATCTCATCGTTTGGCAGGATGATCGTATCTGGCGACGAATACTCGATAGCGGAATCTCGTGCATCCACAGGTACCGATATGGAAGTGGGGGTAATCACCGACAGCAGAGCCACGGACGGAGTTACGAGCGCTGGAGGCTGCAGCTCGATCGAAACAGTGGAAGTCGTGGGGGTCCAGATGATGATATCCTTCGAGGTCATTGTATTGAGCGACGGAGGTAAATCATGCCGATTCGGAGCAGCCGAAAGTGACGACTGAGTGGACCTGCGCGAACAATGTAAGCAAGTATGGCGCGCGCAGATATTGAACGCACTCACCGGAAGGAGAGTGCAACCTCTTCAGCGATATATATCAAGTGAGGAACAGCTGCGTCGATGAAAAGTGCGACGGTTTCCGGTACGTATAGGTTGTTCGGCATCTGCATCTGCACGATTAAGGTGAAGACGGTGATGCCAATTTGACTGGCCAGTTGAAGCCAGAGCATCGTGTTTTAGTTCAGAGCTATCTGGATGATGTAGAGAAAGATTCGCGTGAGCAAAATCCCCCGTTCCCCAGTTATACAGTCTCGTCAAATGACGACGCCACACACTCCCGCCATAGAAGGTGATGTATGGGGGACTCTACGGGCAGGCAAGAAGGCATACAATATGACAGACACTCACAGATAAATGATGTAATATTTCGATATACGCCGGAGTGTTTTTCTTATGAAGTCGGTAAGTAGGTAGACAGTGGGTGTCGAGAGGAGAATCGAGTGGTCAAGGCGCCCAGAGAGGGCGGCCTGGCACACGGGGCTCGCGGAGATCTAATCCTAATCTCACGCCACGCGGAGTTTCACTACATGACCATAGTGATTCCGTTGGTGCTTATTGTACAGAGGTCTCTACGGACTCCGACACCAGAGGCACCATTCGAACTCCGCAATCAGGACAAAGGACATAGTGGTCTCCGTGGGAAGCATTCGTCGTACGCAGCCTAGACAGGTGTAAGTGAGCAATGCCGCGTATACCCTGGATCCTTGGAGGATGCAAAGCTGTGTTGCAGTCGTCAATCCCCTGCAGTCCCCACGAACCAAGTTGACGTAGAGTTGAGAAGCATTGACGCCCTACAAGCGCCGGACGGACTTGTTCCGGGACCGACTCGTCTATGGCATCGATCCGAGTTGTCGACCGGCGGGCAACTCGACTCATACCTTTCTGCATCTCCCACTCATAGCAATCAGAAATTAACCAGTATACATACACGACACATGAAGTGATTGATGAGCGGATAACTTGTAAATTTCAGCCGGGTGACGCACCAGGTCTGTGGGACTTACTCATGAAGAAAAAGGCAAAGCAGAATTCCCTAAAATGCGCTTTGAATTGACGTTATATGCTCAGTAGCCCGTGGACTAGTGTCCTTTGGTGCCAACACTCTCAGAGCAAGGCAGCTCACACGAAGATCAACTTCCAATCAGTGTGGATGATCGAGCGCCTATGGCAGTTCGAATTTGGGCGCCTATGAGATCGTGCGTTGCCTCCTCCCACATCATCCTCTTCTTTATGCATACATGTCGTTCACTAGATCTTTACGCATGTACTCGTTGAGATCACGGTGCTAGTGAATCAGCATTCTCTCTTTTTGGCACTGCCAGTAAGTGCAGTAACCAGCTGATGATCAAGAAGACAGCCGTCGCTAGTGCCAATGAGCGCGATAGGCAATAGTATGTAGTCTCCTGAATCCTTTCTTAACCTCACCTGATATCCGTCTTTTCCATTTGTGAAATGATCATCGTTAGGATTACTGTTTCCCTATGAATGGGTCTCATCTTATTCACCTTTCAAGAATCAAGGGTAAAACACCGCTAGATGCCACAACTGCTATCGAGCCGGTCGCACGGTCGATTTGCTTGACTGGCTCGTAATTTCTTCCTCCATGGTCCTGCCAACAGGATACTAAACCGAAGAATTGCTAAAACATGAGTGAAGCCTCACTAAATTGTATTCGTTAATTCTGGAACGATAACAGCGCGATGCTCAAATTCCAGAAGCCTTGACGGGCTTGAACCAAAAGGATCCGCTATCAATAGTAGTCACGCAGCTGTGGCTGGCATCATATTTGTCACGCGATGTTGCTGCCCTGTTACTATGTTTCCATATTTGCACTCGAGAACAATGTCTCCCGGTGTGGCTGCCTCGTCCCTTGTACCTCAGGTCCCTGATGCTTGATGACTGCCCTAGATGGATTAACAAGCGATGAAACAAGCCATCACATCAAAACCTCCGCTGTGGCCAAGCAGAAACAAAGGAAGGGATCCTATCGTTATACCAATGGATGTATCTGGGTGTCCCCGATTTAAAGAGTCGCTCACCTACTTGCGGCTCGTTTCTAGCTCTTCACTATCCACACTCTCCTACATCATCATCACCTATGGCAGATTCTACACAGAACGGAAGACCCTCAGGCTATGGCCCTTTGCGACAACTCAGGCCCATGCAAATCATTACAGTAACTTCTTCTCGAGATTACCCTGCCACAGTGTCATGGGTTCCGGCTCCCATACCAGCTCGATTGCGACGTGCAATACCCCTGCGCTACGAAACATTCCGTGTAGCAGAGGAGCCTTTACATGTCGTTCCCTTCAATTGGCTGCAACACCCGCAGCTATCCGGAATGCGGCTGGTAGACTTCGATTTACCCATAGCGGACCAGACAATGCGCGCCCGAATGCTGCGTACACACATGCGCGATGGCCACGACGTGGTCCTCCGCCGTCCCAACGCCACGGGCTCCATCCACTTCGACCTTGCGGTACGTGTTTCAATGTTCTTAGTGCGTCCTGTGTGGTCTGACTGTCACATCCAGTGGCTGGATCCTCCTTGTGTTTTCTCCTTCCCTATAGATTTATCTGCACATGATAATCTACAAGGAATCATGAGAACTGAGCTAGCTCTGCGGGTGGTCCGCATAGTGGACGAGTTTATTCACGTACGTTATATCACGCACACTAATATTCGTTCAGCCTGATCTCGTGCTCGATCACAGAGCAAGGTTCCAGGCGCTTACGGACGCCACAAGGATATAACAATCCTCGACATCCTTATGCAACACGGGGTTAATTACGACGATATAGTCCTCGTGGGCGTGATAGTGTTCAAACGGGCATTCATGTGCATCCGCCTGGAAGCCTGGCGCCACACTCCGAACGAAGGGCTATATGTCGCACATGACGATCTTGCACTCTCTCCTGGTTACCGTTTTTGCGGGGCGTGTGTGGATGGCCGTCGCCTTGATGTTCTGCTCCCACCCTCTTTCCCGTACAAACTACGACATAATTATCCTGAGCCCGTCAACATCTCCAGCAAGACGATAATTCTATTTGACTGGAAGCAGCGCCATGGAGAAGGTGTACTGATCACAGACTTGTTCAGCTACGACGTACACCTTCTTGGACAGCTGATGCGAGGTGGATTGGTGCTTCCTTTTGAGGAAACCGGGCTCGACGAGATTATGGTAGAGTTGGAGCTCAAGGTACGCATCTATCAACTCAGCTTTGAACTTAACGACTGATCTCCCGATTAATCTAGACCATCTGCGCAGTTCCGCTTCCGCTAAAACAGTACATGGTTGCAATACGGGATAAGGTCACCAAGCGGCAGTTCACTCTTGCTGAAATTGCATTCGAGATATGTAAGGCCCTTTTGGATTCTTTTGAGGTGCGTCACACAAAATGCTCCGCTGCTTATATGACGTGATTTATTCTCAATCTAGGAAGCATGCGTCGATGAGCAATGGGGGCAGACATCTTATCGCTACATTCTTGCGAATAAGGGTGCGCATTGGGACGATCTCGCCATGATGCAATTATCCCACCTGGAAGGGAAGCGATGCCGTCTTCGGCTACAAGTGCGCCCAATCATGATGATCCCTGTCCCGCCACCGCTTTGAAGTATGCAAGGGGCTTACACCCTAGATCGGTTTCGTGTTGATGCGGCGTGTAACGATTGGTTTCATCACACTCCGTACGGTGTATCTGACTGGAATCGTGTGTCAAGATTATTTGTAACGTAACATATACATTTTTTCCCAGTCTTGTGTGGAGTGAAAATTGAACCAGCAGTTCACCAGGCGCATTCTGGACTTGATTGTAATCGAGCATACAGTGGCAGGCTGATGTCGGTATCGAATCAAAATGCTCCTGCTTAACCATGTCATGCGACCACATATGTATGGAGCACCTACGTCGTGCGCTGCCTACCACCCGTCTCATTTCCACCAACATTCAGAAGACGGCCTCGTTCGCAGCACGACTCGGATCTCTGTGCGAGATGTGACCGCTTCGCAATGATACTGCCCCATGGACTATCTGGAGACGAAAGTCATACGCCAGTAGTCTATAATCTCGGCCTCGATGACGACTGGTAACATTGAAGGTCATTTCTTTGCTGCTTTGGTACCCAGTGGGGTGTGACATCAACAATTCACGCTTGATTTGATCGTGTTGCCACGTGTAGATTGCGGAGGCGCGCTAAAGCTTAAGGCCTCGTAGCGCTAGCTTCCCTCAGTCGCTTCTAGATGCCAGGCTGACTATTGTTGCATCAATTCATTCCATTGAGCCCACAGACGACGTACCAACATACGAGAATGCGTGAAACGTAATAACATGGTGTTAAATCGACATTAAGACAATACACAGAATATCAAGACGCGGATAGTGTGGTATTGAAAAAGTACGTATAGACAGCATAGAGGTTTCGGCATCGCGTTGAGGAGGAGACCTGGCGAAGGGAATGGCAGCACCGAGAGGTGAATAAATGCGATCAAGGGACGAAGGTATGGAAACGATCACTACGAAAGCTCTATGCTGGCGCCCTGCCCTCTTGGAGGAAAGGTCGACATCCACAGACCATGCGGTCGTCCCGTTTATGGCCAAGAGCTCAATACGACACCTACGGGGACAAACTGCACCATTTTACCGTAGCGCCTTGGGGATCCTTACCAGGCCTCCTTCTCCCGATCTGGATTATCGATGCGAACTGGCTCAATATGTCCGGGAGAACGCACAAATTGGAAAGAAGGATGGCATGTCTGTATCGCAACGCAAAGTAGTCGCGGAGAAGTGAGTTCTGCTGGTTTTTCCCTGAGTGGCTCTCATGTGGCCGGCGCTGCGAAGGAGCTATAGGTTGGCTACAGGTAGGGCCATCTCGATACTGGATTTTGACGCATGCTACGGTGAGTGTGGTTACTACTCGACGCACCTTTCAATGTCTTGACTTCCATTTTCGGAATAACCCTTAAACGTATCTGATTGGACCACGGAAAAGAACAAGGTCAAGTGGCTCGTACCAATCCGGAGGCGTTCCCATGACATCGCCCTGGTGCGGCTGCATCAAAGTGGACATGACTTGTAAGGATCGAATAATGCAACATTTCTATAAAATGTTGTGAGCGGGTCCTACAGTGGCTTACTCCTTGGCTTGTATATAATAGTGGCCATCACTCCTCCCTCTTCCCGACCATTGCTCAGTCGTTGCTCTCACTTCTCAAATATGCCGAACGTTTTACGCTGGGCGCCACAGGAAGAAACCGAGGAATACACGCAAAACTCGCATCCTCAGTATAATTTTGAATCACCCACAAGGCCTATAACGTTCCTCGTAGATGACGAGCTGCGCACGATCGAGGTCCCGATTTTGCCAGTGTGGCGGATGACCGTGCCACAGACAGAATACCGCCCCACTCCTCAGCTCCGCTTCCGGCACATCGGTGCCGTACCTCCTATCCATTTTGACTACATAGGGCAGCAGCAAGGCTCCGGGATGCTCTACCTCGATGGGCTGAACTCGCAGGACCGTGCATTGGTCATGCAGAACGGTGGAGACGTGCTCTTTGAGGGGATCGATGGAAAGTACATTTACGTCAGCCTGGAGGTTCGTCAGCCCATTCTCCGTCCGCAACGCGTACTCACTGCGCCTGCGGCCTTCAGATGTTTGCAAATCCGCCGGCGCTGGCATACACGCACGCACGCAAAGTGTATTTGTACGATCGCCCGGGCGGTCGGCTTTTGACCCGCGCCGAGCTCTTCGAAAGGATTAAAAACGAGGCAAGACACTGGGTCAACGTAGGCATCACGCTGTTAGTGAGAGTCTCCTTGGTGTCTGATCGAGATCATCTGTAGGCCTACCGAACCCAAGCGGCCGGCGATCCGGAAGGGAACCAGTGGCCGCGAGGCCTTGTGGGGGTCATGGACCAGGCCATTATTATCACTCACATTTCTCAGTTGAACGGCAAATTGTTCCGCTTGCACCTCGCTGTGTGGCCGCCTCGCAACCTGGCGCAAGTAGTCCCGGAAAGCACAGGAGCCACCACAACACCCGCCCCGCTGAGCATCACGGAGCTTGAGCGAAATGCCCTCCTCACGCTTACCGCCCTCGCAGAACAGAGGGCTCGCGCACGTGAGGCCACCAACCTTTGTTTCCGCCCACACCGACTAGTGGAGCTCGCCTCGACGATTGAGTTGTAGAAACGGGCGTAGATATCACAGTGGTTTGTCGATATATCCAAGATTATGTCTCGTGTGTGTATGGTCCCGCCACCAATTTAATAAAATGACTCTGTACCCAGACACAGTGTTCAATCGCTACACTCTCCAGCAGATGAAAAGTGTGTTGCCGTATCTTTAGGTATGTGCGTAAGCGGACTTCATGCGGGAATGGGCCCGGCCTGAAAATAACGGTCTACCGTTTCATGTTGTGATCACTTTGCGGGGCCCAGCCACGTCAAGACCATGATCCTGAGCGTTGATTCTGGATTCCGCATCAATCCCGCTTGCGCGCAAATATGCTCGAGGAGGTTCATGAGTTTCCGCGGTCGTGGGGCGCAGGAAGGAGGCGGGATCTCAGATCTGATTACACACAGGCGCTCAATGTGACGTCTTCTGTTCGAGGCTGCTTTTCATTTTCACCTCGGCTGTCATGCTTGACACCCGCTGCGTCTCTTCTCCCACGCCGGACGACATGCCCTCAGGACCGAGTCATTGATTCTTCTATGGTACCTGTCACAGCCATGGTATGGATATCAGTCTTCATGCCTTCGAAACGATGCCCCGAGGTTGCGGCGACCGAAATCCTCATGACCTGATGCTATCTGGCGATTCTATCTACTTTCATCATGAGAACTCATCACCATTCGTCAATTTGGTCGCCTAAGTCCACAAATTGCCCATCAGGCTCACGACACGTGGGGAATCTACCAATGCCTGGGAACGTTTTCGCATTGTACGACATGCGTTATTTGCCTCGTACTGCTTCATAACGTCTATTGTGCTACAAGGAACTCTCGACTTGCAGTCAATATGCGACCATATGCGGTGAACCTATACAGCTCGATAGACTCTATCATGATCCGTACTTGTCGAAAGTTGGTTTGATGTGAGGCAAGTGCCTGGCTTAAGAACATCATGTTGTTGATGGTCTGTCTTCCTGAATTCTGCGGCGAAGATAGAAATCATGAGCGAATCGAGCTTTCTGAGCCTCACTACCACAAGACATCCGTCGTTGATCGGTGAATGGACTACACGTACGTCTGCTATCAGAAATTCAAATACATGTCAACAAATGTCAGAATGAACCTTCGGACACGTGTATCGCGAACAGGAAGGCTACACTAGTGTACGACGAGAGGTAGAACGAGCACCAGAGGTCTTGCACGCTGCTGACACATTGATTTGTTGGCTTCATCCTATCGCAGCAACAATATGCATTGCAGCGCTTAAATCTCCATATCTGTTGGTCAGATACATAGTTTGATATTGTCGCAAGTGTAAACCCTCGCATTGACATCAGACGCCATAATGGATGACTCTGTCAACGTAGATCAACAGCTGGATCGATATATATGCACCTGGGATAAGATGCATAAATAGTGCGATTCACGCAATAGCTTCTCCCAGTGTCCAGAGGCACCGTATCTCAGCTTCCCGCTTTGCAGTACGCCTCGATCATGTTTACATGGACATGGCCGGCCTTCTACACGTCAGTATACACCCGATGTAACAAGTACCATACTGATTTCTTCAGCTATGCAGGAAGCCCACGACGCAGATTGTCCTTGTCGGCATCACCTGGTATGCGGACCGATCATCGTCTACGAAGGTACCCGCTGATATTAGGACAGCTTTGCAACGGTGGGGATGTATAGTGCCGCAAGTGGCCTCGGCGCGGGAGGTTTGCAAGATATCTCACTCGTAGACACATCGAACAGCGTACTCTACGCCCTGTTTGCCGTCACGGGCCTTGTCAGTGGCGGTATAGCCAACGGTGTGCTCCAAACAGTGTTGTTATCATTCCAAATGCATCACTCACACGCTGTCAATAAGTTCTCGGACCGAGGTTGACGCTCTTCATCGGTACACTCGGCTACGCTCTCTATGTCGGATCGCTTTGGTGGTACGCCTGCTTGTTTGGAAACTGATACATGTGTTCGTTCAACTGTCTCGCAGCTACCAGACACAGGGTGCCGCCTGGTTCCTCATCCTGGCAGGTGCACTCTTGGGTATCTCTGCTGCGTTACTATGGTCGGCCCAGGGAGCGATCATGATGAGCTACCCGCTGGAAAAAGATAAGGGGAAAGCGTTTGCGATCTTTTGGGCTATCTTCCAATCCGGCTCCCTCATCGGCTCTCTTATCGCCCTCGCCATCAACATTCGCCGGGGCGGCCTCAATGCTGTCTCGACTTCAACATACATCGTTGGTCATTTCTAAAGCGCTTTGCTTGTCAGTCGTTGACCGGTGACATCTATTGGCAGGCTTTCTTGGTTATCATCTTTGTCGGTGTTGCCTCTGCGTTTTTGGTGCTGCCTCCGAACCACATCGTCCGCGGCGATGGTACACTCGTGAAGCTCCAAGCTGTCTCGAAGCCTCGCCAAGAGCTCGTTGGAATGTGGAATACGCTCAAAGACTGGCGTTTAGTCGGTGCGCCACATGTGTTTCCGAAGCTGCAGCGATTCTTACCGTATGCCAGCACTGCTCCCCATGTTCTTCGCCTCGAATTACTTTTACGCCTACCAGGGAGCAGTCAACACCGCGTGTTTTGATGATCCTACGCGCGCGTTGAACTCGGTGCTGGAGAGCGCGGGTGCCATTATCGGCGCGCTCCTGATAGGCCCCTTCGTGCTCGATCTCAAATGGCTCCCTCGGCGCACGCGCGGATACTTCGGCCTCGGTGTTGTGGTCGTGATTGTGATTCCGCTCTGGTCGTGCGGCCTTGCATGGCAAGTCACTTTCGACCGCGCTAAGGCGGCGGCTTTGCCGAAGATCAACTACAAGGATGCGTCGTACAGGAGCAAGGCCCCACTGTTCTTCTTCTGTAAGTAGTCGCATGTATGCGTGTGCCACGGCCTGACCACAACATAACGCGGGCCATGCAGATTATGTCGGCGACGCCTGTTATCAAGCGCTCGCATATTGGATCATGAGTGCGCTGAGCAATGATCCCTTCACACTCGCACGGTTCGCCGGCATGTACAAGGCTGTGCAGAGCGCGGTAATTGCTCAAGCACGCGTTGTCGTCTGGATGTTCGGAGCTGACTTATGCTTTCCAGGGAGCTGCGGGAGCCTTTGGCATGGACGCGGTGGAAACGCCATTTCTGAATGAGCTGCTTGCCAGCTGGATCATGATGTTGTTCTCGTTTCCGTTCGCGTTCCTCGTCCTGCGGACCGTGAAAGAGACGAACTACAATGACGAACAGGTCGTATACGCTGACGATGTGCAACAAAGCATGATAGAACAAGGCCACATATCCAAAGGCGAGATTGGGTCAATGGAGAATGTTGACATTACAGCCGAAGTGGCGGAGGTCAAGACACAGGTGCATGTGGATAGGGACACGTGATCTAGTCTAGTCCGCATTATTTGGCGTGCGAAAATGACTTTGAACCTTTCGATATCGATGCGTTCGGCAGATCTAATCATACGGGATACGGCAATGATATATGAATACCAGTGATGATCACTGGAGTGTATCTAGCGAGAATTCATGGCGTGGTGAGCATTCTTTTATACAAAAGTTGTGTCTTCACCGTCCTTCCAGATAGTTCAATCGTTAAATGGCAGTTGAAGCTGCATGAGGCTGATATACCTCACATACATTACAAGGTAGTCCAGGTGATACTGTCGTAGTCATGTATGACATATGTTAACTAGTGGTCGATCATTATACATGAATATCACCAGTTAGTGATCCAGGTGAGTCATACATGATGCATCCATTTCAGATTTGCCACCATATGCACTATCATGTATGGCACATATATGGTGCCACCTCGTGCTCTGCATTCAGCATGAGCACACTGTCTGTCACGACTTGAGGTCAAGCGACAGGGGAATATCTGAAGGCAGGGGGTGTTTGACTGGTTCTCACCGAAGCGATGGTGAGCAGAGCTCGAACCTAAGGCTAGGGACAAGTTAGTTAGTTATTGAAGGGTAAGTAAGTACAGGGGCTTACTGACCTAGGGACAAGAGGTCGAAACTGAGGTCCCTAGGGCAGCAGAGGCAGGCTTATATACAGGGGGAGTTTAGGGGAGGCTGTGCGCGCTGGTCTGTGCGCAGCTGGTCCGTGCGCAGCATGCTGATGCGGCCCAGGGGGCCGGTGAGTCAGAGTGGCTGTGTCAGCAGAGCCCGAGCTGTGCCGTGCACTGCTGTCCTATCTAATCTGATTGTACAGTAGATAACGATGTGTCCATATCCGGCAGGTAGTATAGAGGTCGCGGATTCAAGCCCGCGAAAAGGAAAAAATTAAAAAAACAGCTAGGCGCCATGCCAACTCGTAACATTACCCCCCCCTCAACGGCGCATGACCTCATGTGAGGCGCCCTTGCCCATCTCCCACCCGGAGCAGCATTGTGCTTCAGTCAGCGGCGAAGGCATTGGCTGAAAGTTGAGACCACCAAAGAGTGCAGCATTGAGGCGACGAGGAGCGTTTGGGTTCTTCCGGTGGAAGTTAGCTATGAGGGCCGGCGCATTGGCAACATTGCGCGCCGGTTCCCATGACGTATGTGAGTTGTCATAACCCTTCCACTTGACGAGGTACTGCAGCTGACGCCGGAAGATTCGCGAATCCTTGATCCGCTCAACCTCGTACTCCTCGTCGCCCTCAACCTCGATCGCAGGCGGCTCCTCCGGCTCCCGGCCCGGGATATCGCTACGCGTGTACTTGCTAAGCAAGGAGACATGGAATACCGGGTGCACCGGCACCGACTTCGGCAAGATTAATTCGTAATCCAAGTCTCCGAGCTTTCACTGCACGGCATATGGTCCAAGGCGCTTGGGACTGAGCTTCTTGCTCGGCTGTTTCAACTTAAGGTTCCGAGCATCAAGCCAGACCTTGTCCCCTGGCGCGAAGATCGGTGCCTCCTGCACGTGCTTGTCGTAGTACACTTTCATGCGCTCGGCTGACAGCTCAAGCGCAGAGCGCATGTCGTCCCTGATCTCCTTCAGGATCTTAAGCCAGTCAGCGGCCGCAGGCATTGCAGACATTGGATTGATCCGCACTTGGATCTCATGATGGTACCCCTCATGCAGGAAGAATGGGGAATGCCCAGTCGCAGAGTGAACTCGGTTGTTCAGTGCGAAAATCACGAGCGGCAACTGCTTTGCCCAATCGTCCTGCCTGTGGCTTGTGAAAGCACGCAGGTACTGCTCAATCTCCTGATTCCAGCGCTCAGTCTGGCCATCTGTCTGAGGATGAAATGCTGTGGACAGCACCGGCTCAATTCCCAGTCCCTTGTACACCACATGCAGGTATTTCGAAGCGAACTGGGGACCTCGGTCTGATATGACCTTGGCCAGGGCCCCATGATGCTTGAACACATCGCGAATGTACAGGTCTGCCGCACCTTCTGCCGTCAGGGTCTCATGACAGGCCGAGAAGTGGACCTGCTTGGTAAAGCGGTCGGCAGTAACCAGGATCGAGTCGAATCCATCAGACTTCGGCAAGCCAACGATCATATCCGTGGTGATGATCTGCCACGGACGCTCGGGGATCTCGTTCGGCTTCAGCGGACCCTGGGGCTTGGCTGGGAATGTCTTGGTACGGTTGCACACGTCGCAGGTGCTTACGTACTCATTGACGAATTTGGACATCCCAGGCCACCAGTAGTTCCGCGACACCAGCTCCAGGGTTTTGGCACAGCCGCCATGACCGGCGATTGGTGAGTCATGGTGGATTTTGACTATATCCTGCCGGAGTTTTGCATTCTTTGGGACGTACACGCACCTGCGGAACAGCAGAAGCCCTTGTTCGGCATTCCACTTCTTAAAACCCCTTTGCAGCCGGGGTGGCCCGAGGTTCTGCACCTGTTCAAGTGCCTTGGCCACCTCCCGATCCTTCTCCGAACATTCCCTTATGCGTTTCAGAAGCGACTGATCAGCTGTCACCGAGGCATGACCGCGCCTGGCAGAGGCAATGCGGAAGCACTCTGGCTTGAGAACCACCTGATCGGTGTTATCGTCCTCATTGCCAATCTGATGGTCTGATCGGCGGGATAGTGTCACGAGTTGACACGGCGTCTAGCCGTTTTTTAATTTTTTCCTTTTCACGGGCTCGAACCCGCGACCTCTGTACTACTTGCCTGATACGGACGCATCATATCTACTGTACGATTAGATTAGATGGGGCGGCAGCGCACGGCACAGCCCGGGCTCTGCTGACACAGCCGCTCTGACTCACCGGCCCCCGGGGCCGCGTCGGCATGCTGTGCATGTCACGAGTCGGCACGGCGCCTAGCCGTTTTTTTAATTTTTT